GTATTTGGCTTACTTTTTACCTGTGTTTTTGTGTGTGTTCTGAAAATGCCTGCAAAATGCATGTCATGTTTGCAGTGCCATATTTGTTAATGGCATCCAAAAGTGGCTAGCAGGTGTGCTTTTTGCCAAAATATGCATAAAAACCAAATAAAATTGCAATTTAAAGTGCCAGAATATGTGCTAAGAAAAGTGCCAAAATGTGCATTACAAACCACACCAAAATGCATGTTAAAATACCTAGTGCCAAAATGTGTGTTAAAGCACCTAAATGTGTGTTTAGAAAAGCAGCAAAATGCACATTAGAAAAACCCACGCTAATATGTGAGTTAAAAAAAAAACAGAATGTTCAAAGAGCAGCAAAATGCAAATAGATAATGTTAAAATGCGCAATAAAAAGGATCCAAAATACACATTTAAAGAATGTGCCAAAATGTGCATTAAAAAGTACCAGTGATCAGTGGCTTATTATTTTCATGTAATTACATGGTCTTTTTAACTTTGGTTTTACTGCTTAAACTCAGGTGATCTGTAATCACACAATTATCTCAGGAGATCACAGGTAGCTCTTCCCCTTCTACACAGATCTCAGCTGTTCTCAGCTGAAAAACTTCATAAACGGGGAGAGGAGAAGATTTTCCCTGAGAACTGCAGAGAACTGAAATGAGATAAATTATCTCTGCTTAACTTGTTGCCGACCGCAGATAGCCGAATGACGGCTGCACTGCGGCCGCCAGTTCTGAGTGGACGTCATATGACGTCCTCCCAGAACGCGCTCTCCTGCGCGCCCCAGGGGGCGCGCACCCGGCGATCTCCGTGATCGCTGTGTCCTACGGACACAGCTGATCACGTGATGTGGTAAAAGGCCAATCACAGCGGCCTTTTACCACCTTATCAGCGGTGTCCAATGACACACTGATCAGAGGGAAATGCAAGTGCCGGTTCTCGGCTGCACTTTCCTCATGCTGTCAGATCGTGAGGAAAGTACTGCTGAGAACCGGCAGTTGTCAGAGCGGGGATCGGCACCGATCATCAGGGCACTGATGATCAGTGCCCTGATGATCGGTGCCCAGCAGTGCCACCCGCAAGTTCCGCCCACCTGTGCCCAGCAGTGCGCCCACTAGCTCCACCCCACCTGTGCCCAGCAGATCACCCACCTGTGCCCAGCAGTGGCACCCACCTGTGCCACTCTGCAGTGTCACACACCTGTGCCCAGAAGTGCCACCCACCTGTGCCCACCCACCTGTGCCCACCAGTGCCACCCACCTGTGCCCACCCACCAGTGCTGCCCACCAGTGCCACCCACCAGTGCAGCCCAGCAGTGCTGCCAGTCAGTGCCACCAGTCAGTGCCCAGTGGTTGTGCCAGTCAGTGCCGCCAGTCAGTGCCCAGCAGTGATGCCAGTCAGTGCCGTCTATCAGTACCCATCATCAGTGTCACCTATCAGTGCTGCATATCCGTGACACCTCATTAGTGCTGTCTATCAGTGCCGCCTATCCGTGCCACCTCATTAGTACTGCCTATCAGTGCCCTTTAGTGCTGCCTATCAGTGCCCATCAGTGCCGCCTATCAGTGCCCATCAGTGCTGCCTCATCAACGCACATCAGTGAAGGAGAAAAATTACCTGTTTGAAAAATTTTATAATAGAAACAAAGAAACTTTTTTTTTTTTTCACATGTTTTTTTTTTTTTGCAATTTTTTATTTATAGCGCAAAAAGTAAAGTGCCCAGTGGCGATTAAATACCACCAAAAGAAAGCTCTATTTGTGAGGAAAAAATTATCAAAATTTCATATGAGTACAATGTTGCATGACTGCGCAATTGTCAATCAAAGTGCAGCAGCGCTGAAAGCTGAAAATTGGCCTGGTAAATAAGGGGGTATAAGTGCCTGGTAGGCAAGTGGTTAATAAACGTACACCATATTTTATTTTTATGATGTTCTCCAATAAGGAAAACACAGGGTAAGCATACCAATGCACTAGCACAAACTACCTAATCCTATAGGATTGCCTACATACAACCCCCTTTTGACTTTATTTGTAGTTTCTTTTTTTTTTCACCAAATGTAATAACATTTTCTTTAACACCTATGCCTTTGGGGAGATCAGGGACATCATACTCAACGTATGTTGAGGTAGTGGTGGCCCTCTCCCCCTCATGTTTCACTGCTTTCTGGATCAACCATAAGACAGCCTGCAACCTTACATAGTTGTGGGACACCAGATTCTTTACTAGCAGAACACCTTGACTGTCAGAACTATACAGGTGAAACTCAAAAAATTAGAATATCGTGCAAAAAGTTCATTTATTTCAGTAATGCAACTTAAAAGATGAAACTAATATATGAGATAGACTCATTACATGCAAAGCAAGATAGTTCAAGCCGTGATTTGTCATAATTGTGATGATTATGGCTTACAGCTCATGAAAACCCTAAATCCACAATCTCAGAAAATTAGAATATTGTGAAAAGGTGCAATATTCTCGGCTCAAAGTGTCCCACTCTATGCAATCAATAAAACAAGGATTCTACATAGAACAATATCGGACCTCTGAAAAGTATAAGCATGCATATGTACTCAGTACTTGGTTTGGGCCCCTTTTGCAGCAATTACTGCCTCAATGCGGCGTGGCATGGAAGCTATCAGCCTGTGGCACTGCTGAGGTGTTATGGAAGACCAGGATGCTTCAATAGTGGCCTTCAGCTCTTCTGCATTGTTCGGTCTCATGTCTCTCATCTTTCTCTTGGCAATGCCCCATAGATTCTCTATGGGGTTCAGGTCAGGCAAGTTTGCTGGCCAATCAAGCACAGTAATCCCACGGTCATTGAACCAGGTTTTGGTGCTTTTGGCAGTGTGGCCAGGTGCCAAGTCTTGCTGAAAAATGAAGTCAGCATCCCCATAAAGTTCGAAGGAAGCATGAAGTGCTCCAAAATCTCCTGGTAGACGGCTGCGTTGACCCTGGACTTAATGAAGCTTAGTGGACTAACACCAGCAGATGACATGGCTCCCCAAAATCAACACAGACTGTGGAAACTTCACACTGGACTTCAAACATCTTGCAGTGTGTGCCTCTCCATTCTTCCTCCATACTCTGGGTCCTTGGTTTCCAAATGAGATGCAAAAGTTGCTCTCCTCAGAAAAGAGGACTTTGGACCACTGAGCAAACAGACCAGGTCTGTTTTTCTTTAGCCCAGGTAAGACGCGTCTGACGTTTGTTGTTCAGGAGTGGCTTGACAAGAAGAATACGACATTTGAAGCCCATGTCCAGGATCCGACTGTGTGTGGTGGCCCTTGATGCACTGACTCCAGCCTCAGTCCACTCCTTGTGAAAGCCCCCAACACTTTTGAATGGCCTTTTCCTGACAATCCTCTCCAGGCTGCGGTCATCCCTGCTGCTTGTGCACCTTTTTCTTCCACACTTTTCCCTTCCAGATAACTTTCTATTAATGTGCTTTGATACAGCACTTTGGGAACATCCAACTTCTTTTGCAATTGCCTTTTGAGGCTTTCCCTCCTTATGGAGGGTGTCAATGATGGTTTTCTGCACAACTGTCAGGTCAGCAGTCTTTCCATGATTGTGATTCCTACTGAACCAGACTGAGAGACCATTTAAAGGCTCAGGAACCCTTTGCAGGTGTTATGGCTTAATTAGTTTGATTAGAGTGGGACACTTTGAGCCTAGAATATTGCACCTTTTCACAATATTCTAATTTCCTGAGATTGTGGATTTGGGGTTTTCATGAGCTGTAAGCCATAATCATCACAATTATGACAAATCACGGCTTGAACTACAGTTGCAAGAAAAAGTAAATGTGAACCCCTTGGGATTATGTGGAGTTTTGCATGAATTGGGCATAAAATGTGCTCTGAACGTCATCTAAGTCACAACAATAGAAGAACACAGTCTGCTGAACATAATACTACACAAACATTAGATGTTGCCATGGTTTCATTGCACATAACATGTAAACATTCACAATGCAGGGAGGAAAAAAGTATGTGAACCTTTTTGGACTTAATAACTGCGTTGACCCTCCTTTGGCAGCAATAACCTCAACCAAACATTTCCTGTAGTTGCAGATCAGACCTGCACAACGATCTGGAGTCATTTGGACCACTCCTCTTCACAAAACTGTTTCAGTGTAGCAATATTCTTGGGATGTCTGGTGTGAATCGCTCTCTTAAGGTCATGCCACAGCATTTCAATCGGGTTGAGGTCAGGACTCTGACTGGGCCACTCCAGAAGGTGTATTCTGTACTGTTGCAGCCATTGTTTTGTTGAATTACTTGTATGCTTTGGGTCATTGTCCTGTTGCATCACCCATCCTCTGCGGAGCTTCAGTTGGCGGACAGATGGTCGTACGTTTTTTCCTGCAAAATGTCTTGATAAACTCTGGAATTCATTTTCCCATCAATGACAACAATGCGTCCAGGCCCTGAGGCAGCAAAGCAGCCCCAAACCATGATGTTCCCTCCGCCATGTTTCACAGTGGGGATGAGGTTTTGATGTTGGTGTGCTGTGCCTTTTTTTCTCCACACATAGTGTTGTGTGTTCTTCCCAAACAACTCAATCTTGGTTTCATCTGTCCACAGTATATTTTGCCAGTAGTGCTGTGGAACATCCAGGGTGCTCTTTTGCAAACTTCAAACGTGCTGCAATATTCTTTTTGGACAGCAATGGCTTCCTCCGTGGTGTCCTCCCATGTACTCCATTCTTGTTTAATGTTTTCCTTATTGTAGATGTGTCAACAAAAATGTTAGCATGTGCCAGAGATTTCTGTAGGTCTTTAGCTGACACTCTGGGATTCTTCTTTACCTCATTGCAGCATTCTGCTCTGTGCTATTACAGTCATTTTTACAGGACGACCACTCCTAGGGGAGAGTAGCAACAGTGCTAAACTTTCTCCATTTGTAGACAGTCTGTCTTACCATGGACACATGAACATCAAGGCTTTTGGAGATGCTTTTGTAACCCTTTTCCAGCTTCATGCAAGTCAACAATTCTTGATCGTAGGTCTTCTGAGAGCTCTTTTTCTGCGAGGCATGTTTCACATCAGACAGTGCTTCTTGAAACCAGTAAAACCCAAAACAGGTGTGTGTTTTTTAAGGGCAGGAGAGCTCTGTCAGCAACACATCCAATATCATCACACTGATTGGAGTCAAGGTTGGCTCACTCCTGGCTCCAATTAGCTCTGGGAGAGTGTCATTAAGCTAGGGCCTCACATACTTTTTCCTCCCTGCACTGTGATGTTTACATGTTATGTTCAATTAAACCATGGCAACATCTAATGTTTGTGTAGTATCATGTTCAGCAGATTGTGGTTCTTCTATTGTTGTGACTTAGGTGACGTTCAGAGCACATTTTATGCCCAATTCATGCAAAAATCCACGTAATCCCAAGGGGTTCACATACTTTTTCTTGCAACTGTATCTTGCTTTGCATGTAATGAGTCTATCTCATATATTAGTTTCACCTTTTAAGTTGCATTACTGAAATAAATGAACTGTTGCACGATATTCTAATATTTTTCGAGTTTCACCTGTAAGTGGTTTGGGCTCATGTACACATTTGGAAAACACTTCTGAATGATGGAAACTTACTGCTGGAAAAAAAGTAGGTTAAAATATGTCTGTTTAGCGCGTTTGCATATCACGTTTAGAAGCGTGCATTAGAAGCATTTAGAAGCGTTTTTTTAAAGCTAACCTCAAGAGACCTTCCAAAATGCCCAGAATGCACTGAAAAAACAGTAAAAAAATGTACTATTTCAGCTATTTTGAGAGAAATCGAGAGAGCAGAAGCAGAGAGAGCAGTCTGTGTTGAGATGACCTGTCTTTTCTGGTTGTATTCACTATGGATTCCCATCATGAGCACCATAATGCAGCACGTTCTAACCATTTTTTCCTTCACGCAAAACCTGGAACTGACTGCGCTGGTGTACTGGGTACATTTAAATACATGGAAAACACTTTGCATGCATTTCTGATGAATAAAAAAGGCTCTGGACAGCATCTGGATATGGATCAGTTTAAAAAAGATTTCTAAACACACAAAACGCTTATAAATGCGGTTAGCCCGCGTTTACAAGCGTTTGGCGTTGGAAACGCTGATAAAATCTACTCCTGAACGCAAGTTTGGTGCGTTCAAAAAATGAACTGTAAACTGAAACTGCTGTAAACAACATAGTGTACATGGACACATAGGAAAACAATTAGGGGAGTTCAGGGCTGCTAAAAAAAAAAAAAAGCAGAAAAGCTCCTAAACTTGAGTTTATCAGCTGCAGTATACATGAGCCCTTACAAGGGTACTGTGTTGTTTTTTATTTATTTAAATATTTATTAATTTTTCAGATAAACAAGTTATACAAACATAGTCATTAAAACCTTAGCATATTATCAAAACTTTATTGTTCCCATCCCTAT